CTTGCAGAGGGGCTCACAGATGGAGCTGGCCTCCTCGTGAAGGTTCTGGCTGTAGAAGATGTACGCCAGCTTGAAGGTGCACGACACTGCACAAGGCACAAGGGAAAGCCAGCCATTAAAGATGTGCTGGAGAGAGAAGGACCCTCTCCTTGTCCAGCCAGGGACTGTCACCCCCTGCCCAACCCCACCAGCCACATCCTGTGCGTGGCAGAGAGCCCCTTGTCACTCCCTGGGGACACAGACACAGAGTTCTGTGACTGTGGCTGACCCAAACCATGGCCAAGGAGCCAGGTCTGGTGCCACCCCTCATAGCACTGACCAGTGACATCCAGGTACTTGGCTTGCTCGCCCTCAGGGAGCCCCTCCAGTGCTTCCAGCATCCACTCCACGTTCCTCCTGCAGCCTGCTGGGAGCTGCTCCAGGCCTGGCCAGCCCTGCAATGGCTGTGGGGGGAAAGGGACTGGCAAGAGGCTACCAAGGACCCACAGCCCACAAAGAAGCCCTTACAACCACACCAAGGTTGCCTCTGAAGGGAGAAGCCCCCCAGTACCACAAAGGCCTCACCCATCCCCAGTGCCAGAGACTGCTCCCTCCACCCCCAGTACCTGGGAGCACTGGAGAACATCGTAGGCCACGTTGGCAAAGAGCTGGAGGCTGCGGTACAGGAGCTGCTTCACCATCAGCTTCTGTTTGATGCCCTCAGGAGGAACCTGTGGCAGGCAGGGAATCAAGAGACTGGCTTGGGTTGGAAAGGATCTTAAGCTCATCCAGTTCCAATCCCCTGCCCTGGGCAGGGGCACCTTCCACTAGATCGTATCACCCAAGGTTCTGTCCAGCCTGGCCTTGAGCACTGCCAGGGATGGGGCAGCCACAGCTTCTTTGGGCACCCTGTGCCAGCGCCTCAGCACCCTCACAGGGAAGAGCTTCTCCCTTATCTCCAACCTGAGCTTCCCCTGTTCCAGTCTGAACCCATCACCCCTTGTCCTATCACTCCAGGCCCTGATGAAGGCCCCTCTCCAGCATCTTTCTAGTCCCCTTCAGACACTGGAAGGAGAAAAGCAGCACCCACGGAGCCTGGACAGCACCAGGCACTGTTGTTCAGAATGGAAGGGCTGGAGACACCCCACTGATAGATTAAGGGGAGCATCAAGCCTGGAGCAGGCGCTCACAGAGCCTCTGATGGACCATACTGTGTGCTCACCCCACCGCACCCCACCCCAGCCTTACCCTCTCCAGCAGCCTGTGCAGGACACGGCAGCTCCCCTCGGTGACGGCACAGAGGTCGAGCACATCTCCCCAGCCGAAGGGCTGCTGCTTGCTGCTCTTCATGCACTCGCTGAGGGTGGAGCTGACGAACTGGCAGCTCTCAGCCAGCACCAGGAGGAACCGCTCTGAGACCGCTGCCACGTCCCTGAGAGCTGCTGCAGCCTGGGAGAAGAGCGGCTCTGCTGGACAAGCATCATCAGCCAGAGCCTGGCTCAGCTGCACCCCAGTCTCCAGCAGGGCCAGGGGGGCACTGAAGGACTTCAAGGAGCTGCTGCTGGCCCCCAGGAAGCTCCTTGCTTCCTTCACTGCCTTCTTGGCCTCCTTGTGCTGGCTGCCTCTACAGAGGTGCCGGCACTGCTCCTGGGTGAGCTCGAAGAAGCAGAGGGATTGCTGGAGGCTTGGTGGCTCCATCGCCTCCTTCCTCAGCACTGCGAGCAAGCAGTCCCCGAGCTGCTGGGCAAGGAAAGCTGAGGACGGCTCCTGCTGGGCCTCATACAAGGCAGCAGCAGCAGCAGCCTGCTGGGCTGTCTGGGAGGTGAAGAAGGGAGGCTGCAGCGGGGACAACGTCTCCCCATCCTCCTCCAGCAGCAGGAGGAAGCGCAGGGCTCGCAGGCGGACCAAGAGGACAGCTTGAGGCTCCTCCTGCGCCCAGTGGGGCTCGGCCAGGGAGGAGCCCCCTCTCCAGAGCAAACCGAAGCTGCTGTAGGCGATGGCCTTGAAGTCCTTGGAAGGAGCCTGGCCCGGGCGGGAGGCCAGGAGCCGGGCTCGGAGGAGCTCCGCTGCCCTCCAGCAGCCCCCGCCGGCCTGGGTGGCTGCATTGCGCAGGAGGTGGTACAGGATCTTCTCCAGGTAGAGGGGTGCTGGCTGCGGCACGGCGCTCACATAGCCCCGGCACGCGGCCTCGGCCACGCTCAGCAGCCTGCCCCTGCTGCCCGGGCTGCCCCCGGCCTTGCCCATCTGCTCCACGCAAGTCCGCAGCACCCGGTCGCAGGCCTGGTTTCGCCGCAGCCACGAGGCCTGGCTGGCACCGGAGGCATCACCCAGGGCTGGTGCGAGGCATTCCTAGGGATGAGGATGGTGTCAGACCCCAGCACAGGGCACCCCCGGGGGGGTTTCTCCCCTCCACTGCTCCAGCAGCAGAGCCACCCCCCCGCTTTGCCCCCCTGCTCACCCAGAGCTGGGCCAGCAGCTCCTCAATGCCCTCCCAGTCGTCCCTCGGGCCAGCAGGATCAGCTCCTTTGAGGTGCTTCATTCCTGACACCAGGCCGGCGGCTCCGGGGGGCTGGAGCGGGACAGGAAGGGAAAGGAGTGGGACCCCCATGACACTCAGACCCCACCCCCCCCAGGCAAACCCAGACCCACTACCCGGTGCTCACAGGCTCCATTCCCCATTCTCTGGCCCCCAAGGAGCAACCAGCCCCATTCTCAGCCCCTTGGGGGCGGCTTGGCTCCCTCCCAGCCCCTCTCAAACCCCCTTGGGGGACCTCAGCTCCCCATAAACCCAGTTACAGCCCCTTCGGGGGGGGCTCAGCTCCCTCCAGCCCCTCTCACAGCCCCTTGGGGGTGCTCAGCTCCCCCCCAGCCCCTCTCAACCCCCCTTGGGGAACATCAGCTCCCCCCAGCCCCATTCACAGCCTCTTGGGGGTATTCAGCTCCCCCCCAGCCCCTCTCAAACCCCTTTGGGGAACCTCAGCTCCCTCCAGCCCCATTCACAGCCCCTTAGGGGTGCTCAGCTCCACCCCCAGTCCCTCTCAAACCGCCTTGGGGGCCCCCAGCCCCACTCACAGCCCTTTGTGGGCGGGGGGGGAGCTCAGATCCCTCCATCCCCTCTCAAACCCCCTTGAAGGCTCTCAGCTCCCCCCAGCTCCATTCACAGACTCTTTGGGGGGCTCAGCTCCATCCCCTCTCACAGCCCCTTTGGGGGGGGTCAGCTCCCCCCCGGCCCCTCTCAAACCCCCTTAGGGGCCCTCATCTCCCTCCATCCCTTCTCACAGCCCCTTGGGGAGGGCTCAGCTCCCCCCGACCCCTCTCAAACCCCCTTAGGGGCCCTCATCTCTCTCCATCCCTTCTCACAGCCCCTTGGGGAGGGCTCAGCTCCCCCCGACCCCTCTCAAACCCCCTTAGGGGCCCTCATCTCTCTGCATCCCCTCTCACAGCCCCTTGGGGGGGGCTCAGCTCCCTCCCAGCCCCTCAGGGGTCACCGCAGCTCCCCCCAGAGCCCCATCCCGGGCCCTCACCCGCTCCCGGTCCGCCGCCACCGGGTGTAGGCCGCGCCGCGCGCCCTGTTCAAACCACGGCCGCAGCCAATCAGCGCGCAGCTCCCCCCCTACGCGCGGGGCACGCCGGGAGTTGTAGTCCGGGCTCGGGCTCACGCGCATGGCGCCGCCGGTCACGTGGAGGGGGGCGAGGGACAGAAGGACCCCGGGGTGACCCCAGGGTGCTGGGGGCGGTGGGGGGGGTCAGGATGGGGAGGGTGAAGTCCTCATGTCAGGAAGTGGGGCTGGGGGGGCATTTGGGGATATTTGGTGTGTTTTTAGGGTTATGGAATGGTTTAGGTTGGAAACGACTTTTAAGATCAGTCCTTAAGAGATTTAAGGCTCCTGGAAGACCTTAGAGCAGCTCCAGAGCCTAAAGGGGCTACAGGAAACCTGAAGAGGGGCTTTGGACAAGGGCCTGTAGGGACAGGCCAAGGGGAATGGCTTGAACCTGCCAGAGGGGAGACTGAGCTGAGCTCTGAGGCAGAAGCTCTTCCCTGTGAGGGTGCTGAGGCGCTGGCACAGGGTGCCCAGAGAAGCTGTGGCTGCCCCATCCCTGGCAGCGCTCAAGGCCAGGTTGGACACAGGGGCTTGGAGCACCCTGCTCCAGTGGAAGGGGTCCCTGGCCATGGCAGGGGTTGTAACTGGGTGACCTTTGAGGTCCCTTCAGCCCAAACCATCCTATGATCTCCCAAACCCTGAACCCCTATTCTGGGCCGCAGCGTCCCCATGGCAACTCTGGGCAAAGGTGACTCCTGTCCCTGGTGTGATGAGACCGGGTTTTTACATCAAATCACTCAGAATCTGTCTTTTCACTCAAAAGGGCCTGGGAGGACTGGAGCTGGGGCACTTATTGCCCCGCCATTGCCCCATTATTGCCTTGTTACTGCTCTGCTATTGCCCCCTTACTGCCCCACCATTGTCCTGCCATTGCCCCGCTATTGCCCCATTATTGCTTCACCATTGCCCTGTTATTGCTCCGCTGTTGCCCCATTGTTGCCCTGCCACTGCCCCATTACTGCTCCACCATTCCTCTGCTATTGCCCCTCTGTTGCCCCATTATTGCCCTGCCATTGCCTCATTATTGCTCCACCGTTACCCTACTATTGCCCCACTGTTGCCCCCTTATTGTCCCACAACTGCCCCATTTTTGCTCTGCCATTGTCCCTTCATTGTCCCATTATTGCCCCACCATTGCCCTGTCTTTGTCCCCCGTTGCCCTTCCATTGCCCTCCTATTGCCCTGCCATTGGCCCTTCATTGCCACTTCATTGTCCTGCTATTGCCTCTTCATTGCCACCCCATTGTCCTGCTATTGCCCCTCCTTTGCCCCACTATTGCCCCTTTATTGCCCCTCCATCGCCCTGCTATTCCTCTTCATTGCGCCACCGCAGATCGGCGCATGCGCCATTGCCCCTCCCGGAACCTTCCTTCCCCGGAACGTTTCTTCTCGCTTCCGGTGCTCGCCCGGGCCGCGCCCGAGAGCAGTTTAAAGATGGCGGCGCCCATGGGCGAGGGCTCTCCAGGTCCGGAGCCCGGCGCTGCTCCCTACGGCAACTTCCCCAACTACTCCCGGTTCCACCCGCCCGAGGGCCGTGTCCGCCTCCTGCCCCGCGGCCTCCTGCGGAGCCTCTTCCCCGCGACCGCTCGCCCGCTGCTGGGGCTCGATGTGGGCTGCAACTCGGGGGTAAGGGACCGGCGGCGGGCGGGTGGGCCGCGGCTGTGGGGAGAGCGGGAGGGGAGCAGCGGCTGCCGTGTTGGGGGGCACTGGGGTAGGATGTGCCCCTGCTTGGGGTATTGGGGTAGGATGTGCCCCTGCTTGGGGTATCGGGGTAGGATGTGCCCCTGCTTGGGGTATCGGGGTAGGATGTGCCCCTGTTTGGGGTATCGGGGTAGGATGTGCCCCTGCTTGGGGTATCGGGGTAGGATGTGCCCCTGTTTGGGGTATCGGGTAGGATGTGCCCCTGCTTGGGGTATCGGGGTAGGATGTGTCCCTGCTTGGGGTATCGGGGTAGGATGTGCCCCTGCTTGGGGTATCGGGGTAGGATGTGTCCCTGCTTGGGGTATCGGGGTAGGATGTGTCCCTGCTTGGGGTATTGGGGTAGGATGTGTCCCTGCTTGGGGACTGTAGCACTAGGACAAGGGGTGATGGGTTCAGACTGGAACAGGGGAAGTTCAGGTTGGATACAAGGCAGAAGCTCTTCCCTGTGAGGGTGCTGAGGCACTGGCACAGGGTGCCCAGAGAAGCTGTGGCTGCCCCATCCCTGGCAGTGCTCAAGGCCAGGTTGGACACAGGGGCTTGGAGCACCCTGCTCCAGTGGAAGGGGTCCCTGCCTGTGGCAGAGGCTGGAACTGGATGATCTCAAGGTCCCTTCAACCCAAACCGTTCCCTGATCCATGTGTGGGAAGCCCCCTTGCAGGTCTTTGAGCGTCGGCTGAAGGCTGGGATGAGATGGAGCCGGTTGGTTTCTGCGTTGCTTTAGGAGCTTTGTTGTGGGTCTGGCCTCTTTGCACTGAGGCCCTGCAGTGCTCTGTGCTGCTGCGTGTCCCAGGCACTGGAGAGCTGCAGCCCTAAGAGCAGCCCTGAGGCTGCAGAGCATCCCTGTGTGTTCTGTGGGGTCACATCACTGGTCCATGAGCCACAAGTGGAAGCTGAAGCCCTGGTTCTGTAGCCCAGCTGGTAAATCTCCTCCAATCTCCCATCTGAAAGCTCATTTTCTTTACCTACTTCTGCTTTTTGGCCTGGTGGCTTGCCCTCAGGGTGCACTTCTTTGTGTGGTGGTTCAGAGGTGCCTGTGCAGCTCTGGTGTGTGGTGGTTCAGAGGTGCAGCTCTGGTGTGTGATGGTTCAGAGGTGCAGCTCTGCTGTGTGGTGGTTCAGAGGTGCAGCTCTGCTGTGTGGTGGTTCAGAGGTGCAGCTCTGCTGTGTGCTGGTGCAATGTTGGACTGGGTCTAAAGATGCTTTTCCCCCTTATTAGGGGGAATTAATTTCCTTAATTAATTTCCTTAAAGGAAACTTTATCCATGTGTGAATTTAGTGCCTAAGAAATCCAGATTCATGCAGAATGCTGTTGCAGTCTGGCTGGGGACAGGAGCTCTGCTGTTTCCATGGCTTCCCTCCCTCCCTGAGGCATCAGCTAAAGAACAAGTGAAGCTCCTATTGCAGGTGAACTTGTGGAACAGGCCAGGGATAAGTGCTCCCAGCCCAGTTCTTTTGGGATGCGGAGACTTTGCCGGTAGGGGATGCTCTCTGCCTGCTCCTATGGGCCGTGCACTCATGCCTGGTGCCATCCAGGACCTTCCTCAGATCTCCTTTAGCAAAAGATGGAGCCAATTCTGCTCAGTGGGGCTCTCTGTGGAAGAGAATCCAAAGGGAAGCTCTCGTGTGAGTTCTCTCATGCTACATCTAATGGTCAGGGGATGGCTTTTACTTTAGCAGCAGTGAATGACACCTATTACTCTAAATTAGGCATTATACAGAGCTCTGAGTGTTACCAGGGAGCCCTGAGGCTCTCCTAGGGAAGCCATATAAATCCCCACACTGAATGGGTTTATCCATCAAGATTCCTGTTTCTAAACCCCTGGTTTTTGAAGCAGAACCCCAGGTTTGAGGTGGTGCAGGTTTAGTGCCCATCTCTGGTTGACTTCCTGATGCTCTTGGCTGCAGAAAGGGAGCTTATTGGTGAGTCTGTTGGGAACTTTGAGGGCAAGCTCCTGCCTTGGTGCTGAGAGAGGGATCCTGCGTGCTGGGAGCGTGGTAAGGAAGCAGCGTGGGCCCCGTGAACCACTGTTGTTTTCCTTCCTGCAGGAGCTAAGTGTGGCTCTGTACAGGCATCTCCTTGGCCTTCAGGAGAGCAAAGGCAGCCTGGAGGAGTCTGCAGCTGGGAAGGATCTGAACCTGCTGTGCTGTGACATTGACCCTGTGCTGATCGAGAGGGCTCAGCAGTGCAGCCCCTTTCCTGCCTCCATATCCTTTGCCAAGCTGGACATCATGGACACCAGTGCCAGGGACTCATTCCTGAGCTCCTACCTGGCCCGGTTTGGCCGCTCCACCTTTGACATTGGTTTTTGCATGTCCGTGACCATGTGGATCCACCTGAATCACGGCGACAGGGGCCTGGTGGAGTTCCTGGCCTTCCTCTCCTCCGTGTGCACCTACCTGCTGATGGAGCCCCAGCCCTGGAAGTGCTACAGGGCGGCCGCCCGGCGCCTGCGCAGGCTGGGCCGCAGCGACTTCGACCACTTCCGAGCCCTTGCCATCAATGGGGACATGGTGGAGAGGATCACCCAGATCCTGACCGAGGACTGCGCCATGGAGCTGGTCTGTTGCTTCGGGAGCACCTCCTGGGACAGAAGCCTCTTGCTTTTTAAATCGAGTGCCTCAGATCCTGAGGGCACAAGTCCTGTTCTGAAGAAGGAGGCTCCGGAGCAGGAGCAGTGACTGTAAATGGCCTCTCACATGGATGAATTCATAGGCAAGGAGGTGCTTGCTGTTCACAGAGACAGGTCTAGGACTTAAATCCCTACTGGAACAGGAGCTTGACCTCTCTGGGGAGAAGAGAGAACATGCCTGGAGCTTCTCAGGGAAAGGGAGCGTTTCTGTTGCGCTGTTTGTTCTGCTTCTTGCCATGTTTCCTATATAAAATACTCTTGGAAAGCACATAACCTGGGTCACCAGCTGGGAACAAGGGAGTTGAATCACTTGGGAGGGTCAACAGGATGCCCAGAGTGGTGGTGGTGGATGTCCCATCCCTGGAAACATTCTAGGCCAGGTTGGACGGGGCTTGGAGCAAGCTGCTCTAGTGGAAGGTGTCCCTGCCCATGGCAGGAGATTGGAACTGGGAACATTAAGGTCCCTCCCAACCCAAACCTGTGGTACTGGTCCGACTGTGCTCAATGCACCAAAGCAGATTGGGCTTCCCTGGTTGACACAGTGTGATCTCTCTGTGGAGAGAGGGATTTCTATGCAGGGCCTGTACTCGTGTGTGTAACACAGTGAGTGCTTTGTGTGTAATAACCTTGAAATAAAAGAACTCGATGTTACTGTAAATCCTGTGTTGGGTTTTTGAGCTTTCCTTTTGTTTGCTGGTTTCAGTGCCTGAACTGTCCCAGGTAACCAGGTTTTATCATTGGGCTGAACTTCCAGGCTCAGATAAAGGCTTTGCTAAGCTCGAGGTTATGTTTGGTGAAGGTTAAAGTTTTACAGCTTCCACTGGGTTGTGGGTTTGTCTGTTTGCTGTTTCCTTCAGTAGAATCCAGGAAGAAGGAGAACAGGAGCAAAAATGTCCTATTTTAACTTTATTCCCCTTGGGTTCATATCCCTATGGGCTTTATTCATACCCTGGGTTTGTTAGCTCTGCTGGCAAGTGGGAGTCCCACTTCTCCCGTGTTGTCTAAAGAGATTAAAAGCCTCCTTTTCATCTCTTTAGCTGTGATGTAGACTCCTGTGTGTAGACTGTGACCCAGGTAACAACTGCTGACTCCTAGGGACATCGAGGTTCTGCTGCTTCCTGCTGGGAGGTGAGAGGGAAGCCCAGGAATGTGCTGGATGGAAGTGCTGTGTCACCAGAGCTGGGTGCTGGAGAAGGGCAGGAGGGGAGGGATCTCCTCCAGGAGGAGCTCTTGCCCAGGAGTTTCTCTATGCAGGGGTTGAGACTTTGATTGCGTTTTACCTTGGCCTTAATGGGACTTCCCTGTTATTTACTCATGATAGTGGAGGAGGGGAGAGCTTTGCTTAAGCACAATGAGCTCAGGTAAGAGGATGTGTGCTCTGCCTGGCCAGATGACCGCTACTGGCAGCCACAGGTGGATGTGTGATGGATTGGGCATTTAAAGGGTCATAGAAAGGCTTTTAAGGCTCTTCATGTGAATGCAGCTTCCCCAGGGGTATCCTATAGGAAGTATTGAGGATTCCCACCAGAGCTCCTCTGCTTCTCAGCCACACACAGATGTCTTCCCTGGTGGTGAAGCTTCCTCTTCCAAGCCTGGTGTGACTTCATTATCCCTGTGGGAGTGAGGGGAGAACCATTTGGGCATGGATTTCCCTCTGGATTCCCTTTGGGAGTTAAGCACCTCGTCTGACACTGGTTGTAACCCTTGGGTGAGCTCCAGTCACTTGGGGTGTTGCTCCCAGCAGCTCCCCATTCCTCACTGCTCTTCCCTGTGCTGTGCAGTTGGTGGCACTGGAGCATCGTGCAACCTCCAGCCTCACCCTTGGGCTGCTGCTCTTGGCTCACGGTAGTTGCTGTTTGCTTTGAACTTTGCCATATTCATAAACCAGAGCTGGACTTTGCTGCTCAATGCTGGGGTTTAAAGGCCTCTGTGGGAGTTCTTTCAGTTTCCTCTGGGGATTTCCATGCTTGCTTTAGGAGGAGTTGCTGGGAAGGTAACAACACACAGGAGGTGGCCCCTGTGCCCATCTGGAGTGGCCTTCCCCTTCAGAGAGACCCTGTTCTATGTTCCTCTCACACTGCAGGATGAAGCAGGGTTCTGCTGCTTGTTGAAAGATTGTGGGTTGGGTTTTAGTTCTTTTTCCAGCCCTTACACACTGGCCATGTACAGACCTGCAGTGTGTGTGTAGCAGCACGATGGCTCCTTATCTGCCCCTCCTGTCTGTGCTGTTGAGTTGCTCTATCTCTGTGTCCCACTGCCTCAGAAATGGCCCAGCTCCAAAACCAGCTCAGTTTGGCTCTTTCACAGCAGGGGGTTTTATTTCTTGTCCTTTGGATATTGCCCCAAACACAGCTCAAAATAACCCCAGCACAAATCTCCCTGCAGCTCTTGGGTCACTGTGGGGCTCAGATGGAGTCAGGCCCTTTGCAGGCAGGAGAAACCACAGTAAACCCCTCTTTCCTTTCCTTTCCTTTCCAGCTCGCTGCTGCTGCCCTCCAGGAGGCTGTTGGGAGATGAGCTTAGGTGGGAGCCCAGCTCCATTCCCAGTGATGGAGCAGAGCCCGTGGATCTCGGCTGCAGTGCTATGTAAGGCTCTCATCCTTTACTCTCTCTACGTTTTGCAATGTGGCTAAAATGTGCTCCCAGTCCTCTTGAAGGTAGGGCAGAATGAAAGTAAAGCTGAGGGTTAAACCCAGCACTTCTTATTGCTGAGAGCCCTTTGCAGGTGGTTGGTAACTGCTCATCATGTGGCTGGGGAAATGGAGATGCTTTGCTGGCTTAGTGCTCTGGTGGTCACCATTGCAGAGCTTGGAGCATCTTGATTAAGGGAAGGCTTCTGTACTGACAGTGCTGCTTGCTCATCTCCTGCATGACCCAAGGATGGGGCTGACTTGGGGTGGTTGCTGCTGGTAATGCAAGGGAGACACAACTTCCCTGTGTATGCAGAGAGAGGGTTGTGCTCCCACTGCTCCCCTGGAGCCCATGGCATCAGGCTGTGCTCACGTGTACATCCTGGCTCACACATTATGTGCCGTGCCATTCATGTTGTGTGCTTCCCTAAGCAGTGGAGGGTTAGTTCAGAGATCCTGCTTGTTCTTTCCTACCCTTAAAGCTCCAGAGCTATGCTTGCTCACAGGAGCCTGCTAGATTCAATGCCTGCACAGAGCACGTGTAGCTGAGCAGTTCCAAATGGAGCCAGAGTGTTGCAGGGCACTGGTGTCAAGCTGGTGGCCTGTCCCATCCAGCAAGCAAGGATGTCTGTGTGAGTAGAGTTCCCATGCTCTGTGGGTTGGGATTGCTGCTGGGCTCCTCGGTTCTTCCAGCCATGAAATGAGCTTGATAACCACCCACACTGGGGAGGTTTCTGCTGGGGACTATTAGCTGTGTGTTTGCACAGCACTTTTGAGAGTGAAATCCAGAGCTGAGCTGTATCATCAGCTGTGAGCTGTGCCTCTGCTCATATAATCACTGCAGCACTTCAGGTAGTAATTAGGTCCCATACCTTCAAAGTGTTCTGACTAACCAAGCCTCACGCCACTGCTGTGTAGCAACTCACAGCTCACTCTGCCCCTTCCCTGCATGGAAAAAGGTGAAGCATCAAGTTGTGTGTAAGCCAGCATCAAAGCTTGGGGGTGAGAACTTGGAGATTCCACTTTCCAGATGGTTCTGCAGTTGCTTCTAGCTCCTGTGGGAAGTGAGATTTAGGTAGAGTCAATGAGAGCTCCTGGTTTTACTATTCTTTTAAGTTCTTAACTTGAGCTTTTGCTTATGCTTAGAGCCTGTTGCTGCTTCCTGCATTCTTGTGCTGGATGAGTACAAGGGATGCACTCAGTGGGGAAGAGTTTAGTGTGTAAATGTAGTGCAAGAGCAGCAATTTTACCACGTTAACATTGACAGCTGCCTGAGCAATGGCTGCTGTGAGCAGCTCTCCCTGCTGGGTGCTTCCCTCTCACACACACAAGCACCGAGAGCCTCACAGACGCTGCTCATCAGCATTTCTAAAGGGTGACCTGGTCTAAAAATGCTTTACTTCAGCTTTCCCCAGAACGTGTGAGCAGCCCAAGAGTGGAGGAATCGAGCTGAGGAACAGAGAGCTGGCAGCAACGTGTCTGCACCCATAAGCAGCTTCCTCTAGCTGGAACCCAGCAACTTGTCCCTACAGGCTTCTATGGCAGAGGCTGCAGATCTTCGGATTTCCTTTGCTCAGCTGAGGGCAAGTTCCTTCTTGTTCTTCCTGGCACTTTGCTGCCTGTGAATTAAAGGAGACAAGTGAGAGGTGTCCACCCATGGAAACATGGGCAGCTGCTGCTGGCAGTGTGGAAACCTGGGAAAGGAACAGCCACAAACCAAACACCCGAGGTCTGTTTGATCCCAGGGCTCAGCCAGTTCCCTTGCAAAGTCTGGATGCATTCAGTGGGGTGCTGGTGGGAGGAAAGAGCTGTGGGGGCTCGGTGGGAAAGGTGACCACAAAACCAAGGTGTGAGTCTGAGTTTCACTGTGGACAAGGGCTGGAGGCTGGGCCTGTTTGGCTTTGGAAGTGAGGAGTCAGGGGAGGTCAGAGGGGATCAAAAGGATGAGCTGTTCCCTTCCTTACGTTGGTTATGGAAGTGGAGGCAGCTCAGCCGTGTACACTGAGGTTTGATGGCTGTTGGGGGGAATGGTCTCTTCAGGTCTCTCTGGACCTAGTGGGGAAGCTGAGACAGATAAGCAGCGTGTGGGAAGTCTGTCCTGCCATTGCATTCCCTCTTTGGTCTTCAGGGGTTTGTTGCAGGCACCTCAGTTTTCCTATCAGACCCACTTGTGTTACCGTGGTGGTTTCCCACGGGCCCTGGCATAGGAATCCCTTGGAGCACTATGGGCAGAAGCTTTGCCACTGATTCTCTTATCGATCAAGCTGAGTTTCTTGCATTTCATTATGTGGGAGTGTCCTTTAGGGCTGGGTCACCCATTAGGTTTGGACTCCAAAGGGGTTTCCAGTTGGATGAGGAAGGCTTGGGGTCATTCCCTGGGGCTGGGATATGCTCAGAACGCTCTGACAGAACTGGGGGTGCTCATGGCTGAAAGACCTTTGCTGGAGGTTAGAAGAGTGGGTTCCTATCTCAGGCTGCAGACCCTGGCCAAGCTGCTCCTTTCCTTGGGCTTCTCATCTTGCTCTATGGGAAGCACAACCTGACGTGGGGTGATAAGCGCTGGAGTTATCACAACCCTGAACCCAGAATGCTGTGCAGACCTGCTCTGTTGGGCCCAGACACACAGAGCTCAGTCAGTTGTAGGTCTGCCTTATGCAATGCTTATCAGCTGCCTGGGTTTTTAGTCCCAACCTTAAACACAACTGATCCTTGGATCCTCAGCAGAGTGGCTTGACTCTGAGCTCTGCCTTTCTTTTGAGTGAGAGCGTTTTAAGAGGTGGTGAAGCTTTCTGGCCTCATTCATTGTAGTGTGGGGCCCTTGCAGTGAAGCAGGGGAGGCAAGGAGGGATCTCACCCATAGCAGAACGCACTTTAGATAAGAGTCTTTGTAACTGATTAAACCCCCCTTCATCTAAGGCCAAAGATTACACAGGCACTGCAGATGCTCTGCTCTGTTTCCTGGTATGGGGTGCTTCATGATTCCATACTGGTTACTTCTGGTTTATTGCTGCATTAGCAATCTATGAGTCTTCCACGTGAGTGACAAGGATTTAGTTAGAGCTTAGTGGGAGGGTGGTGTCCCTCCTTGGCCTCCTCACTTCCCCTCCACCACTGGGGTCAACCCAGCGGCTCCCAAGCCCATGGAACACACAGAAGCTGCTGAAGTGCAGGTTTGTTGCCCCAGCAGCTCCAAGCCAGGAGCAGTCGTGCTGCAACAGGCCCCCTGCGAGAGAACAAGCTGCAAGGCTGACACATCAAAAGAGAAGGGCAGCTCCGTGGGGTTCTCTGCCAGATCAAAAGGCAGCAGTAAGCAGGGCGGCTCCTCTCCTGCCTGGCCCTTGAGACTGCTCATCTCTTGCTCTTTACGTGTCCCTTTAATCTCAGCTCCCTCCTAGATCACTGCTTCAAGCATGTGAGCTGGTGGTGGGAAAAGCTCATCTCTGAAGTGGCTTCCATGCGGGAAGAGCTCCTCGGGTGCATGTGGTGAAGGAAGCACATGGGAGAGAGTGAAGGTTTTAGGACAAACCCCCCTAACACAGCAGCACCTTCGTGTCCCATCAGAGCTGGTGACACAGCAGGAGCAGAGATGGGTGCAGGGGATGGGAGCTGCCCTGTGTGGGTCTGGTGTCAATCTCTACCTAGAGACCATCAATCCCCTTCTGCAGCTGGAGTGCCTTGGTGATACCAGGGCAGGAGGGCTCCTCTGTGGGGCTCCATTGGGATCAGGCCTCGCTGCTGCAGTGCATGGAGGCAGTGAGTGAGCAGGGCAGCATTTACAGGCTGTGAGGAATGTTGGTGGCTGTTATCCAGGCTCTTGGCTTCCCTGGGACTGCTTAGCTGCTGTAACCACTGCATTCTCCATCTGGACATTCCCAGCCTGGCCAGTGCTGACTCCTGTTGTCCAGGGTGGCTAAGCAGGGCAGATGCTGCATTATTCATTGTCCTGCAGTGCATTCCTTACTGACTCAGGTTAAGCTTTAACTCCCCATCTTAACCATTCCTTACAGAGGCGGTGTTTGGCCTCCCTCAGAACAGCCACAGTTGATGCCTGAGAACTGGGTTGGGTTTGCCCTGATCCCTTCCAAGCCCCCTGCACATCACCTCTGTGGGCAACTCTGTCCTTGGATCAGGGCAGCCACAATGACCTGGGAAAGCAGCTTTCCCACCTTGCCTCAGCCAACCTGAGGGACTTTCCTCCTTCCCTCCCATCACTCCCATCACAGTGCTCAGGGCAAGCACTGACTGCATGGAGAAGCCATAAAGGAGCAGAGGTGTTGAACCTGAGAGCATGGGAATGTGGAGTCGAGCATTTGGCCTTGAGTGGAAAAGATGCTGTCTGGAAGGCTCTGGCTTGGTGAGAGGGGAAAGGGACCTCACAGGAGCCTTGTAGCTGCTTTGGATAGGAGGAGGAAGGAAAGGGGAGTAACTGTGGATGGGACTTGGGAATCAAATCAGATATTCCTGGGATACCTTTGTATTTATGAGCTCTTCCCCCTGAGGATTGTACCATTGATGCTGGAAGTAGGAATCTCATCTGACCTCGAAGAGCATCACTGCAGAGCTGATTCTGGGGGGGTTCCCAAGGCATTTACTTGAGCTGGAGACTAAAGCAGAACAACCTGGCCTGTGCTGGGCCTTTCTGTGCCTGGTGCAGGTTTCCCAGGTGAGCAGTGAGTGTCCCAAACACCGCTCCTTGCCCTGGGGGGAGGCGGAGGGCAGGAGCTGCTCTGCTGCTCCCTGTTCTCTCTTGATCTGCGTTTCTGGCTGCTGCTGTCACCAGCCCATTGGCTCTGCTCTCTGCCAAGGCTGCAGGTCGGGGCTGGTCGCTGTTCCTGCTCCGTGTGTAAGTGTCTGCCTGCATGGCAGGGACCAGCTCCAGCTGGTCTGGGTGAAGTGCTGACTTCAGGCACTGCCAAGCATGACTCAGAAGGGGGAGAGGGCTGGCGAGAAGGAGGAAAGGCTTTTTAAGGAGTTGTAAGCTATAAACTACAGCAAACAACGCTGGTCGAGGTGGCCTGGTTCTCTTCCAGGTTCTAAAGGAAGAGTATTAAGGATTTATAAAGAG